TGGATGCAATTATAATTATTCTTTGCCAGTCATCGAAAGACTAGCATTTAAAAAAAATTGATAAGACAACTGAGAAAATATTGAACATGTTTACTGAGGATTAAATATTGTCTGCTTACTGGAATGACTCAAGGACACATCCTGAAAACCTAAGTCCCTTAACTTTATGTATGTATGAACTCCACCTACACCTTCAAATACATTTAGTTAGTTACAAAACAGAACACTCATAACTATGGAACTGACTCACACAAGTAAAAATTCTTCTGAAGTCCAAAGAACTGTCACCTAAACTGATAATCAATACCTCTGAGCTTTCCTAGGGTGCAGCCGCTGCCAAATATCCTAGGGACATCACTCCGGAAATGGAGAGAATTGCTCCTGCTAGGAAGTGCGTAGTACTTAGAGTAGGATGCAGCATGATGTAGCTATCCTTCTGCCAGAGTGAGGTGGGAGATCAGAGTTCCAAGTTCCCACACAATCATTAAGTAACTGAGTGGGTTTTGACCAGCCAGTGTCTCTCAGCCTGCTACAGTGGTGGAGAGAAGGAAGTGTATCACAGAGGTCATCCTGAACTGGCTTGAAAAACAGGAGGATTAAAATATAGCCAAATTCCTCCTCCACCCAGATCTGAAAAGCAGTAAGTTTGGTAAGATTGTTTTAACAGCTCTTTTTGCCCCAGACCTCTGAAAGATAGCCATCTACCCTGGGCTGGAATGGATAATTATTTTCTTCTTGCCTAGTGTTTCTCCGGAGAAACTTGCCGATACCTATGGATTTTTCCAATATCACAGCTGAGCCACAGGAGCAAGTTCTGTTAAATGCAGTTCTACTATTTCCCCTTTACCATGCTCGTTTATTCTTCAATATGGCTACCAGAGTTGGCATTGCAAAAATCAGGATGACCATTAGATAGCAAAGATACCGTCCGTATCTCTTTGCTGCCATCTGTCTAGCGGTTGCCTGAGTTTCTGCAGCCAGCCCAGAACTGGGAGCCCTACCTTGAAAAAAAACAACAAAAAAACCCAACCACCAAATGTGCAAATAAGTCCCAGCTACTGCCTCCAACATACTACCACTAGATGGTTCCCCGTTCCAGGTTTCTCTTTCCCCAAAGCTGTTTAACCTTTCACCTCAGGAAACTGGATTCAAATTGTGTGAAGGGCATAAGGAAAATGAGATTGACCTCCCACCTGCTACCATGTAAAAATATATCCACATGATAAAAAGCCATGAACTCCACTAAAATAAGGAGTCTTTGTTCTCCTAGTTCCACGCTTCTGCCTAAGAGAGGCTGAAGGTCAGGCTTGAAGATAGATTTGAAAAGCAGAGATAAAAGCTGAGTCGGTCAGCAGGTCTAGCTTTTGTGCAGTGTTAGCAGTAATTATATTTCATGAGTCCGCAAAGCCAAAGAGGCTGAGAAGACGAACCACGTAGCACTTGAGGTTTTGATTGAGAATGAAGCAAGAAAAAGAGGGGTCGTTGTGATATTGAAAAGAAAAATAAAGTTCTTTATTTTAAAAATGTCACAGCTATAAAATGTGAGGAGGGATTTACCAAAACTTAGCTGTATTAGCCAATGGCAAAGGGAACAAAGAATATATAACTCATTTTATATTTACATATAACCAGAATCTTTCTCCTTTACTAGGAGATATTAGAGATCTGAAATGTAGGAACATGGTGGAAATAAGAAACCCTCAGTTAATTAGCATACAAAATTGTTTTATCAGATTTCAGTTCATTAATATGAATATTTATGATATTAATCAATTTGATACCCAAGGCTCTAGTTTAAGCAACTTTAATTAGCTGTGTTCTTTTTAAAAACATTTTCCTAGTTGTCCTAGAAACTTTGTATTTTGGGTCGTATCAAGTAACTTCCGATTACTTGATCCAATCCAGCCATGCTATAGAGTTTACACAGGAGTAAATTACTTAATGTTCAATTCTGCTTAATACCTTGGTATTAAAGATGCATAGGATTGCAGCCAATGTGTATCTTATTCATTGGACCAACCCAGCAAGAAATTTTGAAGCTGAATTTGGAAGATTCATTAGAACAAAGGAAATGGTATAGTTAGAAAAGGATCAGCTTTATTATTAATTTATATTCAAAGACTAAACCAACAGACATTAAAACATATTATTTATACACACACACAGACACACACACACAGACAGAAGCCAAAAAAAAAAAAAAATCAAAGCTATGAGGATACCAGCCAATTCCTGAAGGCTAAAGTTACAGACAAAAATTTCGCCACCACCCTTGATATATTTAAAAATTGGCCTTTTAAAAGGAAAGCAGTGATTTTCTCATAATGAGAGAAATTAAATTTTGTAATAACGAGGGTTGAAGGCCAGTTTGGTGCCGTGGTTAAGACACCAGACTAGAAACCAGGAGACTGTGAGTTCTAGTCCTGCCTTAGGCACAAAGCCAGCTGGGTGACCTTCGGCCAGCACCCTCTGAGCCCAGGGAAAGAGGCAACGGTAAACCACTTCAGAAAAACCTTGCCAAGAAAACTGCAGGGACTAGTCCAGGCCGTTGCCAGGAGTTAACAGTGCCTCGAAGGCACAAAACAAACAAACAAACCTGGGTTACAGGTTTTAATTGCCACTGTGCATTTTAATACAACATAGGATACACGTTCAATCTCGGTGTTTGAACATAAACAAATATTTTATATGGGAGGTTGAAATATCTTTGGTTGTTGCCTTGATAGGTAGTGCATCAATTCAGGCCAGAGAAAAAAGTCTCCTACATGGAGCATGCATGATCTTAAAAACATAGCTATGGAGAGTCCAGGGTAATTCTATTATAATACAGGTGGGAAATTTTGGCCCTATCTGACTGAATATCTAAGTTCCAGACCCTCTGTTTGAGTTCTCCTAAAGTTTTATCAAGGCTTAACGTAAGTAAAGCTGGTATTGACAGACCTCAATTCATCAGATTTTGATCAATTTGCCTTTGCAGGGTGGATACCAGATGAACCAAGGAGGTTCCCCAAAGCAAATCCTGCCTTAGCTGAGACTCACTAGAATGATTTCTATTTGTTTAAAGAAGATAATTTCAGAAGATAAGGACTATTGGGTAAAGCTGTAAGTAACACAGCTCAGAACTCACTTCAGGCCAATAATATAAAAAACCTAATGCGATTAAGAGGTCCAGCTTTAGTCTGTGGTTTAGTTTAGATATATTTACAATATGAGCAATAGTTCATTATTACATGCACAAGCTTTTTCTTTAATGCCACAGCTTTAAAGGCTTTTTCAGCTGAAATGGTAATAGTTACAACGGATGTAGTGTTTAACTAGATCTGCTCTCCCCCCGCCCTCCCCCCCCAGGAAAGATGGGAAGAAGAGTATAGTAGGGTTAAAACGTTTGCTAACCTACAGTCAGGAAAAAAACCAGCATACAATAATACATAATGGGAAGATACCCACATTGCCCTCAAAGTGAAATAAAAAAACAAACACTGCAGTGAGCAGCTGTTTTCATATTCTATTCTTCAACCAGGTCTGATCTTAAGAAATACATTACATTAAAAGTGTAATGCCATCTAATGGACCCCATTACCTCTCCTCATCAGTGTGGGTTGGCTTTCTCTACAAAAAAGAGCCCCACTAATTCTGGCCTTTGGGATATCCTTTTTGGTGAGTAACAGGTTTTCTGATTCAGCTCCTTGAGAGTTGCATGCTGGATGATGGACTCCTAAGGCTTCTTGATGGGCTGCGCTGAATTCAGAAAAACTAAAGCAACCTCTTCAGTAGTAAAGGAATAGCAATACATAAGGGACAATCCATTAATAACACTAATATATAGGCAATAAGAAGTTTACACTTCCAACCCTAAAATATCCAAGCAGTAAAGTTTAGCCACACAGATACCAGTTTATGTCTACAACTGGCCTGAAAAACATTTTCTGTACAGAAAGCTTACATCAAGAACACCCTCCATTTGTGTTTTTATAGAGCAAACCTGTGTGGAAACTCCAGTGTGGTATACAAGATTGCAACATTTTCAATATATTTAATTTGGTTTAATTAACCTTGGAGGGGATTGCTACACATACACACATGCACACCCTGGATATAATATCTGCTAAAGAGGGCTGGGAAATTCATTTAAACACATTTAGAGGATTAGGAGGAAGAGAACAAGGGGAAATCTCATTGCCTGCATGATACTGGATGGAATCCTTAGTTTAAATGTTGGTATTTTCTTGCCATGATTATATGCAGAAATTACATGTTCTAGTAATTCAACAAAAAATTATATAACGGTAGCATAATGTAATTCCATCATCATTTCCATCCTCTTCCCTTTTTGAATTGCAGTGGTACCTCGGGTTATGAACTTAATTC